CTGGTGCTCATTTTCCTATTAGCTCTGGAAGGTTTCTAGTACCCACACACCCCACTCACTGTCTGCCTGGAGAAGGACCTCATTCACCTGTCCATAAACCTAGCAGATGGAGATAGCATGGAAACTTAATTTATATACTTTATGGAGCCTCAAATATGTCAGCAAGCAATTCTTTCTCTATGTCTGTCGTTCACAAATATCTGTTGCTATCTCCCAAGTGCCTTAAGTACATCATCTCATTTAATTTAGTGTTTACAACAACTCTATATGATCAACATAATGATGCTCATTTTCCTGGTGAGTAAATTGAGACTCAGAGAGGTCAAGTGACTTGCCCAAGCGAACACATCTAGAGGTGGAAAGTCAGAATTTGAATTTCAGACAGCCATACCCTTGCGCTGTCTCCATTGACCAACATGCCACATTGCCTCCCTTTCCCAGTGGGACTGCCTCTCCTCCATCTGGTATTTTCTGCAACATAGAGGGTTTAGGGAGGCAGAAGTCACCCCAAGAGCATATCCTCCACTCCGATGTAAACCTGATCTTTGAGCACCCTCGATCCTGCTTGAGACATGAGTTGGTCCATCCTCATTACGAACCCAGGGATATAGCCACAGATGCAAATAAAGTTACATTTTCCGACAGATACAAATGGATTTGTGTAAAGGCATCAGAACAAAGCTGCTCTGCTAAGCCCTCCATGAAGGTGCAAATTGCTAATCTGATTTAAATGTATCACTGGTTTGCTTAGGTCTCATCAAAAGGTTTGGATACAAGAGTCAAGGAATAATAAAAGTTTCTCATATGAGCTATACTCATATTTGAGCTTGAAATGAATTCTTAGTTGTTTGTTGTGGGAGCCAATTTCTGTATTTTAAAATGGGGTTGGCAAGGAAGACAAGGACAGGACAGAAAGGAACCAATAAAATCAAGAGCAGGGATTAATTAAAGTCCTGGAGATGGCAACAAAGGAAGGAGGGTAATCACGCTTCTTCCAAGAAAGACAAGTTGCAGGATTTTATACACACACACACACACAAGTTTCTGGAAAAATAATTTAATTTTAACACCATCTCCACAAATCGACTGGGCTTATCTGTCTCCCATGGAAAGTAAAGATTGCCCTTTTCTGGCCAGGGGGGAATCTCATTTCCCCTCTCCTTATCATTTATTAGAAATCAAAATATTGTTTCAAATAGATGTGTTTAATATTTCAGACTACATAATGTGACCAGCACAAAAGGGCAGCGTCAGTAGGCAGGCTACAGAAGTTAGAGAGGAGATGAAAAATGACCCTGAACCACATGACCAAAGATTTCTCTCCGATCTATCCTTCCTCGTTCTGGGAGACTTGGCTTGTTGGCCATCGCTCATTCTTGAACTTCCTCCACTCTGAAAATGGGGAAAGTAACTTGAAGATTTCCCTCTCCTGCCCTATGGTATAGAGGTATTCCAGCAACATGGATTGCAATAGCCACTGTCTAAAGCAAATTTCCCTTTCCAAATGATTTTGGTCATAGAGAAGCTAAGATGTTTTCCCAGTAAAAACACCACTCTATATAAGGCTGAAAATTCTGGCAGGAAAAAAAAATTAAGACTTAGGTCATATCTATTAGCCATGTGGTCCAAATTAGTGGCTTATTTTTCCTGTGTGGCATTTATATCTTAGTCATTGGCAGCCACCTTCTCTCAACTCCTCTCATATCTAAAGATCTGGTGACACATCACGTCCTAGACTTCCACTACCTCCCGTTTTCTTTATATTTAAAATGCCTGATGGAAGCTGGGTGTGGTGGTACACACCTGTATTCCCATCACTTTGGGAGGCCAAGGTGGGAGGATCGCTTGAGGCCAGGAGTTCAAGACCAGCCTGGGCAACGTGGCAAAATCCCGTCTCTACAAAAAATGTAAAAATTAACCAAGCATGGTGGTGTGCATCTGTAATCCTAGCTACTTTTGACGCTGAGGTGAGAGGATCACCTGAGCCCAGGGAGGTCGAGGCTGCAGGAACCACGATTACATGACTGTCCTCCAACCTGGGTGACAGAGTGAGACCTTGTATCAAAAAATAAAAATAAAAGGTCTGATGGAGCTAATTCATAGTATTGTGCATCACACGTGGCTATCTCCATTGAACACCTGATGAACCACAGTCTCCAAACACCTTACATTCTAGACTCTCAAACAGACAAAATGCAATCCCTCCACTTTATCAATTTGGCAGGTTTGAAATTCAGTGTGTCAGGTTTACCCATAATGAGTAACACCTCAAATCACCCAGATGATGGCATCAGTGTGAGGGATAGTGGCAATGCAGCTAACCCAATTACCAATTGTTCTGGATGTGCAAAGCGCCGTGCGAATGCTAAGTCATAATGTTATGGCTTCATCTGAAAGATGTGCATATCACCCTGGAGCATCAGTAAGTCAGTAACATAATTTGCAATAAGTCATCATTAATTAACGCTAAATTACCAGGTCCTTCCTCGGGAAGCAGCATATTAAACTGACATTGGTATGTGAAGAGTTCATTATGGTTAATGCTATGAGAACACAAACTGAAGGACTTAATAGTGGATTAGAAGGTGTTTATGTCCAAACACCTCATGTAGGCCCCCAGCTGCCACACTCCAGCAAAGACATTAGCTCGTTGCTAAGGACGAACATGGGAGACGGGGAAATTTACATGAAGAGGTTCTCCCAGCGTGGAGTAATGAGGTATTTGGAAGCGTTGAGAAAACGTGAAAGAGCAAGCTCACCCAGCCCTTCCCCTCATCCTTACCTCTTTCACACCATTTCCATGAGACAGAAGCAAGGAGCAAAGAGATATCAGCAGCAACGGGCCCCTGGGATAGAGGGAGGGATCAGATTCACCTGGGGAATGGGAAGGCATGGATGTGGGGAAGGGTGGGATATGATGGTGGGAAAACTCCTCGGGTGATTTTGTTGACCACCCCACATCCCCCTTCCCCACCTCACCAACTGTTATGGAGTGATTTTTGCCACGTTTAATGTTATTGCTTCAAATTGTAATGTGAAATGATCCTAACCAACATAAATTTGTGAGGCACATGGTTGTAAATCAACATTGCCATAGCTAATATAATCGCTAACCTATGTAGACATTATCATAAAAACAAAATGAAAGGGTGCACAGGGTACAATGCTGATGATCCAACAGCAGCACTTCCGTGGCTGTTAAACTCATTGCAAGAAAGGGATGCGAATCCCTGAACCACAGGAATTGGAATGCAGTGGCTACAGCCTTGGTGCACCTCCTTCATTCCCCAGAGTGAAGGGACCCAGTGGCAAGCATACTTTAGTACAAGTTTCCGTACTTAGTTGTAATAAGTCCTCATTCAAAAAGAGGCCCATAGTCCCAGCTACTCAGGAGGCTGAGGTGGGAGGATCACTTGAGCCCAGGAGTTCGAAGCTGCAGTGAGTTATGATTGCACCACTGCACTCCAGCCTTGGCTACAGAATGAGACTCTATCCCTTAGAAAAAAAAAAAAAAAAAGACAGAAAAGAAAAGAAAGAAAATAATAAAAATAAAAAGGAGGACATTTCTTCTGCTACTAACAAAATATTAGCATAAAGACAAAGAAGTGTGAAGTCTTTGGAGAGATATATTGTTTTTCATGCATTCATTCACTCAACAAATATTTACTGAGCATTCTGATAACATTCAAGATACAAAAAAAGAGAGAGACCAAAAGGCTTATCCTCAAGGCACTCTCCTGCTAGCATGAAAGGGAATACAGTGCACAAATAGGCAATTAGTTATGAAATGGTGGAGGAGTAGAAGGATTCACAAGTTGTGCAGAGCAGATGGGGGTGGGGGAAGGAAAGTGACAGGGATACCTCTCAGAAAAAAATATACATGGGCTGAGGATAATTTGGGAGGGGAAGCTAGGGCCATTCCAGGCAAAGGGAACCGTCTAAGCACAGCTACAATCCTGGAGAAGAAAGCCCTTCCTACCACCAGCCCCATCCCTCCCAGCTAGAACAGACTGGACCATGATAGACACCAGATCCACACTAAGCCAGTTGATTTCCTCTTATAGGATGATCAAACTAAATGAGTCACCTGCCCTGAAACTTAAAACTCAAATGTCCAGCCTGCCATTTGGAGACCATGTATTCAGAGGAGAGCAGAGAAGAGGGTCTCTAAAGAGAAGCAGGGGAGGGAAGTAAGCACACAGAGAAGGGCAGATCCAAGAAACCATGTGACCCCAATGCAGAAGGGAGGAGAATGAAGGTTTTCAGGCACAAGTCTAGACCTTCATGAGGCTCGGCTATTTTCATGGGCCATGACTTCCGTGAAATACTCTCAATTCTTTTGAATAAAGTCCCCTTAATTTAAGACAGCTGGGCCAGCATTCTGGCTGGGAGGCACTGGCGAACAAGAGACACTGAAGGATCCTGGGTGGAAATGGGCTCTGCTGTACCCTGGCATATGGCAGTCACTGCAAGGGTGATCTCAGACCCACCCAAGTTAATCATCATCACCAGAAGTGAGAGGACTGCAAACAAACTGATTGGATCAAGGACAGCGGGGCTGGATTCACCAGGAGGTCTTCACACCTACTCATCAGCTTTTTATAAAGATAAAATCTCTGAAGCACTTGCAGCTTCTCTGGAGAAAGACTTGAGATAAATGCATGGTATTGTTAACAAAAGGGTCTTTCTCCTTTATTATAAAGCTATTGGAAAGGAATTGCTTTTCCAGGCCATAAGGGAGCTGCAACCCAATCTCAACAGGTAACCTTGAAAATCAGACACAATAGCTGTCCCTTTTCTCAATTCTCTTTCTTCCCTTACTCACCATCCCTCCAAAAACACACTGATCGATTCACAGTCTTTTTCATGTAATGAGACTACCACCTCGTCCTCTACATACTGAACAACCATGACTGTCGCTGGGCCAGACCCTGCCCTGTCTCATCAGTTCAGCATCCATCATGCTTGGCCTACGATGCCACTGAATTCTGGGTGGGAGGATGTGTGGCCAGGAAAGGCAGACGTCTTTCATGGCTCATAAGGAAGAGCCTTCCCGGTTAAAGGTTATGTACAGCACCCTGAGGAGTTCTGCGTTTGAAAGATCAAAGAAAAAGTCCCTCCTGGTACAGTACGTATAATTTCTTCACAATTCTTTCTGTGGCAACAGGATGTTTGTGTCAATAAAACTGTGTTCAAGTATTTTGCATATGTATGGTCACTGGAATGCAACCCAAAGATCTAAGGAAGACACAGATGAAGAAAAGGGAAACCACTGACATCAGGCAGATGAGGGTGCAAAAGAGGAAGGCGTTAGATACATTCGCTTTGTAAAAATGGAGGCCAAAAACCAGGAGTGGGAACTGAGAAACAAGCATTTTCTTGGTATTCAAGGATGCTTAGGGAAAACCCTGCCCTGGGGACAGAAGCGGCAGGAAACTATGCTCTCTGACTGTGGGCTAATTCCCCAATAAAAGAACTTCCTAATTCATCTGTGGAACCTGCTGTAGGACATAGGACTTTGAGGAGTCTTGGTTTCTGGAGAGCTCCTGAAATGCTTTCCCTATGAAATGGAGTTTGCAGAAGTGGCTGGACCACTGGAATGCTCTCTAGACCTCTGAGCCCTGATAAAGTCTTCAGCGAGACTGAGATGTAACAGCATCCCATGCCGAACCTTTCATCCCAGGGATGTTCCAGAAGGCAGAGGTTTCCCCTGTGGACCACATCAGCTCTCTGGAACACAGGCATGGGGGCTTGGCATCTCACCAGCACATATTCAGATTCATTGTCATTTGGAGTTGAAAAGGACACTAGAATCACCAGGTATAACCCTCTCCACGTCTCAGATAATATGACACCACAGGTTGAAACATTTCACTGTCCTCTGGGGTTCTCCAGGAAGAAGCCATTTCTGTTTGCATTTAATACAGCTACGCTGTCATTGTTAGAACCTAACTCCTCTGTCCACCCGGCCATACAGGAGGCATGGTTGCTGCACTTGAGCTCACCAACTATGCTAGAAGAGACTGGTACTTTGACCTAAACAAGTTATTCAGAATAGCTTCTTGGGTCACATGACCTCTTACAAGTTGTTTTGAAGGGAACCTGGGCTTCAAAAACAGCATTATATAGTCCCAGCTACTCGGTGAACCCGCGAGGTCAAGGCTGCAGTGAGCCATGATCATGCCACTGCACTCCAGCCTAGGTGAGAGAGTGAGACCCTGTTTCAAAAAATAATAATAATAAATAATAATAATACAGTATTATCTGGGGAGACCATGTATTTGTTATCTTTTGCCATGCAACAAATTACCTCCAAAACTTAGTGGCCTTAAAAAAACAAACTTTTAGTATCTCACATTATCTGTGGGTCAGGAATTTGGGCATAGCTTAGCTGGGCATCTCACCTCAGGGTGTCTGACAAGCTACCGTCTGGTGTCACCAGGGCTGCAGTCATCTCAAAGCTCAACTGGGGAACATCTGCCTCCTAAGTTGACTCATGTGGTTACAGGCAGAATTGATTATCTTGCAGATGTTGGACCAAGGCTTCTGTTCCATGCTGGCTGTTGGCCAGAGGCCTCCCCTAGTTCTTGCCACATGGACCTCTCCATAGGGCAACTCACAACATGGCATTTGTTCCATCTGAGCAAGCAAGAGAGTAAGAGAGGGCACAGAAGATGGAAGCCACAGTCTTTTGGGAGCCTAACTCAGAAGTAACATCTAATTACTTTTCTCATAGTCTGCTTAGGAGAAGTGAACCACTAGGTCCAGCCCACACTCTGGGAGAGGGGATTACACAAGGACATGAACCCCAGGAAATGGGGATCATTGTGAGGCCATTTTGGAGACTGCCTACCACACACTACATATTACCTTCTCATATTACCTTTACATACTACTTTCTCATATACATGTCTTTATCATGGGGATTGGCAAGAAGAGAAGGAAAACAGCAACCATGCTGCCCAGATTCCTTCTGTCTTTGCAGTAGTCAGCCATTACCATTAAGCCTGTGCTGAAAGGTAAGCCCACATGGTCATATTTTGGTATAGGACCTCCCTTCACACCATATCTGCTAGGAACACTGGTTAAAGCTGAGCCAGAGTCCTCTCCCAGGAATGAGTAGTTGAGGTACACAAAGTTAAACTGAATGGTCACCTAGAAGTGAGGCTAGAGCCAATACAGTGTCTTGAGCGAAGCCATGCTCAAGCTGAAGTTAGGATAGCAGAGACTAGGTATAAGCAGAGGTAGCCAATCAGCAAAGAAGAATCTAGAAGAGCAAAGATAGAGAGATACCAGGACCGTTATGACATAAGGACTGAGACAAAGACACAGAAACACAGAGAAACTGCCTCAAGGCTTGCCTCTTTTTATTTTTTTCTGTTTATTCAGTCTTGACCACATACCTTCTTCCCTGTATCTGAGCTAGCCTACATTAGGTTTTGTTTCTTTACCTTTAATCCTGACTAAGACAGGTTTTCCCCAGTCTGTTTCTTCTCCTAGAAAATGATTAATATCAGTTCAATTTCACTCCAGAAAATGACCTTTGAGATATGAAATAATGTGCAGATTCCAAGCAAAGCATATTTTTGTTCAAAGCACAGGTGCAATGCAATTCATTTCCATAGGTCTTTATTGAGATGGAGGTTATTGTTCTCTCTGTGAATCAAGGGGGAAATGTAATTAAAGCAAAGAGAATTTGACTTATCCTAAATCAAACTAGTCATTAAACTAGAGCTTGAGGGCCGATATACTTAGCCTTCTGTATTAGTCCATTCTCACACTGATAATAAAGACATACCTGAGACTGGGTAATTCATAAAGGAAAGTAGTTTAATTGACTCACAGTTCTGCACGGCTAGGGTGGCCTCAGGAAACTTACAATCATGGCAATAGAGGAAGCAAACATGTTCTTCTTCACATGGTGGCAGCAAGAGAGAAGTACAAAGCAAAAGGGGAAAAAGCCTCTTATAAAACCATCAGATCTTGAGAACTGATCACCCACTATCATGAGAACAGCATGGAGGTAAGTGCCCCCATGATTCAATTACCTCCCACTTGGTCTCTCCTATGACATGTAGGGATTACGGAAACTACAATTCGAGATGAGATTTGGGTGGGGACACGGCCAAACCATATTACCTTCTAAACCCACAGTAACTTACAAAGTGAAAATATATGTTACAAATTCATACAAACGTGCATACACACATGCACATACCTGCATGGCAACAGACACACATCACAAACTAGGAAAATGAAGTCTCAGCAAAGAGCAACCTCTCTTCACTCGTATTGATGTATCACAAGACAATATGCACCCCTTGAGTCAACTCCCACATGGATTTGCTTTCAGAGCACATTTTCTAAGTATTCAACAGTCTGTCAGTAGAGAAACCAACTCTAGAGTGGTTTACAGGACTCCCCCAGGCAGTTCACGTAAATATTGCAAACTGCAAGTTTATACTGCCAACTCACTGCAGATACCCAGAAGAATAAGATTTTACAAGCTCTCTTTCCACAGGAAATCAGACTGCAAATACTGAGCGATCATAGCTTGGATAATGCTGCCCCCTTTGATAGATGTAGCCTGAAGAAATGTCTTTCTTAATATATAAATGATTTTTTAATCATAAAGGTAATATGTGCTTATTCTGGGGAATTCTGAAATTTCAAAAAATAGAGAGGAGAAAATAAAGTCATGTATAAATACTACCACAAAGAGACAACTGAGGTTTGTGTTTGGTATATTTCCTTCTAATCTTTTTTCCATATCATATTATATATGTACATATAGAATATGTACATATGTGTATATATTGCATATGAGTATGTATATCCATATACATATATGTATACACACTATATATATTTGCATCTTTTACAAAATTGAAATAATACTTTTTGTTTTACTTTTTTCACTTATTTATTTGCAAGGGTGACATGGGGAAGGACTGCTAATAGGTACCCAATTTCTCTTTGGAGAGATAAAAATATATTAAAATTAGATTATATTGCTAATTGTGCAACTCTGAAAATATACTAAAAACATCGAACTATACACTTTGAACAGGTGAACTTTATGGTATGCAAATTACATGTCAATAAAAGTTGTTTAAAAAAAAAACCTTAGATCCCAGCACTTTGGGAGGCCGAGACGGGCGGATCACGAGGTCAGGAGATCAAGACCATCCTGGCTAACCTGGTGAAACCCCATCTCTATTTAAAAATACAAAAAACTAGCCGGGCGAGGTGGTGGACGCCTGTAGTCCCAGCTACTCGGGAGTCTGAGGCAGAAGAATGGCATAAACCCGGGAAGCAGAGCTTGCAGTGAGCTGAGATCCGGCCACTGCACTCCAGCCTGGGTGACAGAGCAAGACTCCGTCTCAAAAAAAAAAAAACTTTAGTGAGATACTGTCACATACCTATCAGGATGGTTAATATTAGAATATTACTACATGGCTAATATTACTATATAGCCAACATTAGAATATTAGAATACTACTACATACCTATTACAATGGCTGATAAGTGTAAAAACAAAAACAACTGATTTTCAAAACTTCAATTCCAAATACTAGTTAGGATATAAAGTAACTGGAACGCTGACAAAAATATAAAATGGTGCAGCCACTTTGGAAAACAGTTTGACAGTTTCTTCCAAAGTTAAACATGCACTTACCATACTACCTGACAATCCTACTCCTAGGAATTTACCCAAGAGAAATGCATGCATATGCCCACACAAAAATCTATCCCTTGTGCAAATATTCATGGTAGCTTTAGTTACGTTAACCCCAAACTAGTAACAACAAAAATGTCCCTCAATAGGAGAATGGACAGACAGAAACTCCCTCAAGCTTTGCCTCTTTTTATTTTTTCCTGTTTATTCAGCCTTTATAACATATCTGTATATCACATATTAAATAAAAATGTGATATATTTATTCAGCAAAATACTATATAGCATTAAAAAGGAATTACCATTGCAGGCAACAACATAGATGAATCTCAAAACCGTTATGTTGAGTAAAAGAAGCTCTGCAGAAAAGACAAAATACCAGATTGTTCCATTGATATGAAACTCTAGAAGAGGGAACTCTAATCTGTCACAACAGAAAATGGATCAGTGGTTGCCTGGGTCTGAGAATGGGAAAAAGCAATTGAGTACAAAGGAGCATGAGGGAATTTTGGAGAACGATGATAAAACTTTGTGTCATGATTGTGGTGGTGTTATATGGCTGTGAGCATTTTTCTAAACTCATCAAATTGTATACCAAAAATTCTTAAATTTTATTATATGTAAATTATACCTCAACAAAGTTTATTTCTAAAAATAAAAAACTCATCAAACTGTAAATTTGTAGGTGCATTTTTTGGTATATAAATTGTATCTCAATAAATTTGAGTTTTTAAAATGCACAAAATGTATATTCTATTGTGTTCATTTTCACAGGTCGTTAAATATTTTTCAAAAACACCCTAAATTAAACATTACACAGCTATTCTATTCAATGTTATAGATGTGCCACAACTTCATTAGCCATTATTGCTGAATACTTAGCAATGTTCTTTTTTTTCTTTTGCACTTAAAAAGCATTGTAATCAACATCTGCCTATATAAAACTTTGTCTAAGTTTCAGATTCATGAAAAGGGGAAAACTGGGTCAAACAGCAAAAATATTTCCAAGGCTCTCAATACATGTGGAGCAATATTTTCTCAAAGTTGATTGCTTTTAACTGTGTGGGTAGGAAGAGAAAGAGGCTTGTTGCTATTTCTCCAGCTCCTCTGCTAGAAGAGAAGCCCTTTATGTGGATTCCCATGAAAGAAGCATGGGGCTACAGAGGCCACGGGTTCTTGTCCTAGCACTATCAACTGCTTTGTAACTTTGAGTCATTTCCTCCTCTTTAAATACTGTCTTTTTTGGTCTGTATGGTGGCTCATGCCTATAATACCAGCACTTTGGGAAGCCAAAGCAGGAGCATTGCTTGAACCCAGGAGTTCAAAACCAGCCAGGGCAACATAGTGAGATCCTGTCTCTATAAAAAATAAGTAATAAATAAATACTGTCTTTTTAATCTCCAAAATGAGAATACTAACTTATGGTAGCCAAATATTTTTTGACAGGACATAAAAAAGCACTAACCATAAAATAAACAATTGATAATTGAACCTAAAGGCTTGTGTTTATTCAAAGACATTATCAAGAAAAAAGACAAACCACAGACTGGAAGAAGTTATTTTATAAAACATATATTTAACTCAGGATTTATATAAAGAACCCTAAAAATAATTAATAAAAGGTGGGCAAAAGAACATGCAATTAAGCATGCACTTCACGCACACACACAAAGATTCATGTGGGTAACATGCAGATGAAAATGTGCTCAGTATTATTAGTTATATGGAAATGCAGATTAAAACCACTTGAGGTACCACTATATGTCCAACAGAATGGCTAACATTTAAAAGACTGACAACACCAATGTTTAGTGCGGAGACAGAGTAATTAGAACTCTTTCATTGTTGACAGGAGTGTGAAATGGTATAATCGCTTTGGAAAACTGGAAGTACCTACTAAGATTAAACATATATACCCTTGTGAGGTAGGAGATTCACAGGATTTGTTTTCTGAGCATCAATCAGGACTCTCCTGATAAAAATGGGTTGCAATAAAGAAACGAAATGAAACCAGCAGATGGCAAGGGAAGTGACCTCTAGTTGCCCTCACTGCTCATTAGCATAAAGAAACTCCCACCAACACCATCACAGTTTACAAATGCCATGGCAACGACCCGGAAGTTACCTTATATAGTTCCAGTAACTTCCCCTACCCCTTTTTAAAAATATTCTGAACAATCTGTTCCTTAATTAACATATAATTAAAATAGATACAAATATAGTTAGCCAGCAATCCACAGGGGCTGCTGCTGTGCACTGCTACTGTTGCTGTTCACTGCTGCTGCTGCTTTTCCTCCTAGGGGCTGTCTGCTTATGAGATAGCTCTGCCCTACGGATGGAACAGCCACTTTGCTGTACGCTGATACTCTGGGTCACTCTGCCCTCCTCTGTCTGTGGAGCAGCCACTCTACTGTACACTGTTGCTCTGAGAATCTTACTTTCTTTCACTGTCTGCTCACTATTGAATTCTTTCCTGAGCAAAGCCAAGAACACTCCTGGGGTAAGCCCCAATTTGGGGGTTCATCTGTATCACTTGGACTCAGCAATTTCACTCCTAGGTATATGCCCTAGGGATATAAATTTGTGCACAGGTGCACCAAGGCACATGCAAGAAATTTGATAGCAGTTTTATTTTTAATAGCCAAAGAGTTGAAAAACCCAAATACTCATGAACATAATAATAGATACTTGGTGGCATATCTATATAATAGAATGCTACTCAATAAGAAAAAACTAACTTCTGCTTTACGCAACAACCTGGATAAATTTCTCAGACATAATGTTGAACAAAAGAGCTTAGATTCAAAAGAATACAGATTGAATGATAAAATTTATATAAAGTTCAAGAACAAGCATCCATCTGTTCTTGGTAGTAGTAGAAGTCAGAATAACAATTCCTTCTGGTATGGGTGGCAGAGGTATTGCCCAAGAAGAAGCACAATGGAATCTTGTCGGGGCATGGAATTGTTCTGCATCCTGCCCTTGATGGTTATTACAAAGGTGTGTATATATGTAAAACTTCATTTGTCTGTCTTCTTAAGATGTGTGCACTTTCCTATGTATATGCTATGCCTCAATAAAAATAAATGAAAATTAAATAAAATTAAAATATTGGACTAGATGATAACTGGAGTTTTTCCAACCTTTTACAGTCTCTTCACTTTCTATCTTCTTTCCCTCTTTTCCTCTATTTCCCTTTTTCCCAAGCTCTCCCACTCTAAAAGCTTTAGTTAACACTGGGCTTGGAGAGTTCACACATCTGCATGTCTCCAGCCCCAAACCCATCAAAGAACATCTCATCTGGATTTGCCACCTCCTGCACCTCACCGACACCACAACTTGTCCAAAACAAAACTCATCCTCTTCTACCTCCTCACCCTCACCCAGAGCAGGTACCAATCAGTGTGGCTCCCCAGCTCACAACAGTTTCCCCTTTTCCAGCATCAGTCCTAGTATGTGGGTGTGGGCTACCACAAAGCAAGCCTGTACACCATGAATATAACTCCAGGCCAGAGTTGACTGAACCAGGAAGAGACATCTCCACCAAGCTGGACTAGACTCCCTGTCCTGTGAATTTAAAGAACACACAATGAGGAAAGGACAGTCTCTTCAATAAATGATGTTGGGAAAACTGGATATTCACATGCAGAAGAATAAAATTAGGCTTTTTATTTTACACCATATACTACAATCAACTCAAAATGGACTAACGGCTTAAATATAAGACCTTAAACTACAAAACTACTAGAAGAAAACATAAGGGAAAAGCTACACAACACTGATCTGGGCAATGATTTTTTGGATATAACCCCAACAAAGGCAAAAATAGACAAATGGGATGGCATCAAACTGAAAAGCTTCTGCACAGCAAAGGAAACAATTAATAAAGTGAAGAGACAACCCACAGAATGGAAAGAAATGTTTGCAAACTGTACATCTAACAAAGTGTTATCAAAATACAGAAGGAACTCAAACAACTCAATGACAAGAAAACAAATAACCCAATTAAAAACAAGCAAAGGACCTAAATAGACATTTCTCAAAAGAAGACATACAAATGGCCAATAGATACATGAAAACATGCTCAGTATCACTAATCATTAGGGAAACACAAAATAAAACCACAATGATTTATCACCTTTCACCTGTTAGAATGGCTATTACCAAAAAGATGAAAGGTAACTGTTAGGGAGGATATGGGAAAATGGCAATTCTTATACATTGTGGGAATGTAAATTAGTTACAGCCATTTTGGAAAATGGTTTGGAGGTTCCTCAAAAACACTAAAACTAGAATCACCATACAACCCAGTAATCCCACTTCTGGATGTATAGTCAAAGGAACCGAAATCAATATGTTGACGGGAATATCTGCACTTTCACGCTCACTGCAGACTTATTCACAGTAGCCAAGATAGGAAACAGCCTAAGTGTCACCACATGATCACATAAGTATACTATACAATCTCACTTACATGTGGAATCTAAAAAAGCAGAACTCGTAGAAGTAAAGAGTAGAACAGTGGTTACTAGAAGTAGGATGTTGTTCATCAAAGGATATGAAGTTTCAGATGGACAGGAGAAATAGGTTTCATGATTTATTGCACACCAGGGTGACTACAGTCAATAATTATGTATTATATATGTCAAAATAACTAACAGCATAAATTTCAAATGTCTCACCGTAAGAAAATGATGGGCAAGTAAGGTGATGGATATGTTAATTAGCTTGATTTAATTATGTCGCATTATTCACATATATCAAAACAGCCCACTCTACCCCATAAATGTATACAATTATGGTTTGTCCAGCTCACACCTGTAATCCCAGCACTTTGGGAGGCTGAGGCAGGCGGATCACAAGGTCAGGAGTTCAAGACCAGCCTGGCCAACATGGTGAAACCCCATCTCTACTAAAAATACAAAAATTAGCTGACCGTGGTGGCACATGCATGTAATCCCAGCTACTCAGAAGCCTGAGGCAGGAGAATTGCTTGAACCCGGGAGGCAAAGGTTGGAGTAAGCTGAGATTGTGCCATTGCACTCCAGCCTGAGCACCAGAGCAAGACTCCATCTCAGGGAAAAAAAAAAAAAAAATGTTGCACTAATAGCCATTGAAACAGACTCCTGTTTGATCTCTCTCTCCCTGCAGTCTCCTAATTCTCTAATTCATCCTTCACAGTTCTGTGAAACGGGGCTTCCTAAAGCCCACTTCAGACCAGACCATTGTACCATTCATGGACTTTGCCAGCTCCCCATTAACTACTGGAGTATGAGTGCAGGCTCCTTAGTGTGGCAGTCAAGGCCCTCCACAATGGCCCAACTTCCCTTTCTAGTTTCTGCTCTGATTCTCTCCTTCCTGTTTCTCTCAAGACCCATGCCTTGCCCCGTCCAATTGCACTAGACAACACACACGCTCCCCATAGATAGGTTCACACCTCTTGGCCTTTGCTAATGTTGTTCCCTTAGCTTAAATGTCACACCCCACCTTCCTGCCATCACTTCCTCTGTGGCCATGGAGACCTCACCCCTTTTTGGAGGCCCAGATAAAATGCCAGTGTGTGTAGGAAGCTTGTCCTCATTAGAATTCATCATCAGAAGTATTTTGTTCATTCTTCTGGTGTGGGTGTGTCGTACCTGACCTTGAGGGACCATGATTTGCACCTGAATATGTTTATCTGGGAGCTAAAACTAGACGCTCTTTTCTACTCTATCCATCCTTTCCACCATCAACCCTACCATAGAATCAGTGCTCAATAGCTGCATGAGGAATTTACATTTTCTGAAACTACCATAAAAAAAAATGAAAATGTAAAAGGAGGGATGACAGAGGCCAGAGGCCTGTAGGGTGGGGTGAGGGGCAGGGGAAGTGGGAATGGATGGGGTGGAGAAAGTGGGGGGAACGTGGGAAGTGGTGGGGAGGGCACAGCAACCTAAGAGAATGAAAGAACAAGGAGCAGAGGAACAAAATCCTGAGGAAATGGAACTCTCTTCCATGACAATTTTTTTTTTTTTTTTTGAGACAGAGTCTCCATTTGTCACCCAGGCGGGAGTGCAGTGGCATAATCTCGGCTCACTGCAACCTCCGCCTTTCTGGGTCCAGGCAATTCTTCTGCGTCAGCCTCCTGAGAAGCTGGGACTACAGGTGCGTGCCACCACGCCTGGCTAATTGTTGCATTTTTAGTAGAGACAGGGTTTCACCATATTGGCCAGTCTGGTCTTAAACTCCGGATCTCAGGTGATCTGCCCGCCTCGGCCTCCTAAAGTGTTGGGATTACAGGCATGAGCCACCGCACTCGGCCCCACGATAATTTTTAAATCAAAAGGGATAAATGCTGACCAACTTATCCCTGTCAAGGGTGCTTCTGGGTATGGAGATGAGACAAGGGGCAGATCCAAGGCTAAGAAGAAGAGCATGGAAGACAGGCAAGAAGCTCCCGTTTCCCTAAGCCTGGCTCAGAAGCAGAGGGCACTTTAGCAGGGAACCTGCTACCTGTCCTGATGGACTGGTTTGCTTCCTACACCCAAGGGCATAGCAACTGGCTCTTTTAAACATCAGAAATGAAGCAAAAAGACAAATCTTTCCATGGTGTTGCCTCCCCTGGCAGAAAAATGATGGAGGTAAAAAGAGGAAGAATGGAAAGGTAAAGACAATCTGAATCTCTACAAAATGCCCACGAGGCCAAAAACTTCCAGGTGATGGACTGTCGGCAGCCTCAGCACCAATCTCCCTGGGAAGGGGGTTACAAAGCGAGAGTGAGAAGGGGAAAGAATTGAAAGGCTTTTTATAGCCCCTAATATCTCTTCTGACAGCAGTCTGCACAGCTTTCCTGTGCCAGGATGCCAGGAAGACGAATGGATTTGTCTTTCCGTTAAATACCATTACCCAGAGCACTGGGGAGAATGAAGAATGGGTTGCAAACTCACACCCGAGATTCCATCTCTTTTCTCATAATTAACAAAAAGGCTACAGAAACAACTCTCATGTGTCCTCCTCAACTCATCCCCACCAACAACACACGTAACCTCAGAAAATAGGTAGCCCACTGAACTTCAGCAATCACCACCTAGCACCAGTGCCCAGCACACGGCCAGCCTGAGGAGCTGAAGTTCAGCCCTATCAGCATGGTCAGGTCCACACGAGGTCAATAACCTACTCCAAGATCCATTAAGCCACTTGTAGGAGCCCATCATCTTAGGTGGGAAAACCCAGTAGCGTTTTCCATTAAGAAAAATAGCAAGGGTTTGCTTTTTGCTATAGGGGCAAATGATTCTGCTTATTGATGGAACTCTCAGTTGCTTTAGTGATGTGAGCCATTCACAAGCATCAAAACAAAGGGAGAAAAACAAACAAAAGTAGTGGTCCCACCTCCAGTTTAAGGATACATTTAACAAAATATGGGCAAGATCTGTACATCGTAAATAACAAATACTGCTGTGAGAAATGTAGAGATGTCTTATGTTAAGTACTAGAACTAATACATGAATTTAGCAAGGTTATAAAATACAAAGTTAATATACAAAAATCAATTGTATTCTTCTATATTAGCAGCAACAATCAGAAAATGACATTTGAAGGCCGGGCGCGGTGGCTCAAGCCTGTAATCCCAGCACTTTGGGAGGCCGAGACGGGCAGATCATGAGGTCAGGAGATCGAGACCATCCTGGCTAATACGGTGAAACCCCGTCTCTACTAAAAAATACAAAAAACTAGCCGGGCGAAGTGGCGGGTGCCTGTAGTCCCAGCTACTCGGGAGGCTGAGGCAGGAGAATGGCGTGAACCCGAGAGGAGGAGCTTGCAGTGAGCTGAGATCCGGCCACTGCACTCCAGCCTGGGTGACAGAGCAAGACTCCGTATTTACAGTAGTGCCATAAATACATAAAAACATAAAATACTAGGAATAAACCTAGTAAAAGTCATTTCAGACCCCCACACTGAAAACTACAAAACATTGTTGAAATAAATTAAATAAGACCTAAATAAATAGAGATATCCCACATTTGGTTTGGAACACCCAATCCTGTCAAGATATAAATTTTCCCCCAAACTAGTATACAGCATCAGTGCAATCCCAATTAAAATTCCAGCAGGCTTCTTTTGTGGAAATTGACAAACTGATTCTAAAATTCATATGGCAATTCAAAGGATCTAAAACAGTCAAAACAATTTAGAAAAACAAGAATAAACTTAGGGAATTTACACTGACTGATTTCAAGGCTACAATAATCAAGGCAGTGTATATTAGTAAGGATGAACTTATAGAACTTATAGACCATGGACCGTAAGAGCAAGTCCGGGAATAGACCCATATATATATGGTTAATTGAGTTTTTACAAGCTGACAACATAATTTTGTAGAGAAAGGATAATCTTTTTATAAATGGTCTGGTAC